AGAGAGTAACGTTTCTAGGAGCAGGTCTGCTGTCGGTGGCGGCCCCTGGCGTCGGCCCCTTGGTGGTCGGTGTGGCGGCGTTTGTTTCGGGAGCCGCCTCCTCGTCCACCGGACTAATAAGCTGTCCGTAATTATTTTGTGGAGAAGACAATCTCCCACCGGTATATTAACTACGTGCCCCCCGGATCACTGTCATTTGCACTGCATTGTGGCGTTACGCTGGGCAGGTTGGCGGTGTGGTTGGCGGCGCGTTTTGCGGTCACATTATTATGTTCCACAGATATTAGAAATATTCCCCAACACCTAAACAAAACACACAAGTGCCTAATAGTTATTTATGTAATTAGGTTAAGAAGTAAGGCCGAATGGCATATATGTTGTATACAACATTTTATCTTCAAAGCACTTTATATAGGTCAATTTAATTCAACATCAAAGCGGCCTAACCTCACTTTTTTAGAATCTCATTTATTTATTAGCTAAAGATTACATTAAATGTAAAATAATTATTATTGCTTTTAGAAGCAGTAATAGTTTGACAATACCTAGCAACATGATTTAAGTAGAAATGGATTTTTGCTATTACATTGAATTCAATTAATTGTTTAATAAATAGGTAGGTATCTAATTTCAATTTGTTTGGATTTTTATTAAAAAAATAGGTAGTTTGGAATGTTTAAGCTGTGTTTAACATTTAATTTCACTGAAAACTTAAAGCAAATTAAAACTTAAAGATAATTTAAATCGTACAAAAAGAATCGTGCGTTTTCTTGGTTGCCTAACCTCAATTATTGTTTTATTATTCATATTTAATTTTACAATAATTTAATGAAAAATATTAAACATTAACAGTAAAACAAACAAATTAGTGCTTATTATAAATAAATTAAAATAGTTTAGTACGTAAATTTCTTAGAAAAGGATTAATTTTTCAAAACAATACCCCTAGCGAGAAAAAATCGAACTAATTACTTGCCTCATAAAATTTTTTATCGGCCTAGGCCATAACAAGGTATTTCTTTATCGAATGTTGACAACAATAAAGTTTAAATTATAGACCGCGTGGAGATAAAATATATTTTTTATTCTTTGAATATATATCCGTGTACGTCCAACAGAGGTCATTGTTTCAACTTGTTATTTTATTTATAAACTAGGAAGAGTTCAAATTAAATAAAAAAGTAAAATTCGAAGACGACAACACAGCAAACAACATGTTTTGTATTCAATTCTTGTCGGGCTTTCTTATGATAGGGCTGTGCTGAATGGCCACCTGGTCACTTTGAAACGTGACCAACAATTTTCTCATTAGGGTCGCATACTTTCAAACGACCAGGCGCTAATGGTGGGCGCGCTAATTGAAAAATAAATGTTTTTAATACAATTTCGTTCAATAAACACTATCATACAGTCCCTGTAAATATAATATTAGTGTATCTATACACGTTTTAGTAATGATTAACGTGAAAAGTGTAAACATTTCAATTCAGTAATAATCGCCAAACAAATAAGTCGTCTAAATTTAAACAGCATTTAGCATTATTAAATGCGTTGATTAAGAAAGTCTCCACTTAACGGTATGTATTATATATAATATTATGTTGCCATGAATTCGTAGGTATATTTTGTTTTTTAAAATGCAGTTGTCGGCGTTTTTTAGAGAAATATAAAAATGGTTGATTTTAAGGTTATGTTTGTGCAAAAATTATTTTTTACTAATTTCTTAAAAATGTCCAAACTTAAATATAAATTATATTAGGTAAAGTTATCATTAGTTAATTCTGCACCAACAAATGTACTTACCGAATTGGATCCTTTGGCAAAACATGAAAATGCAACGATTTAGTTCTTGAATTTTATTTACAATTAAAAACACAATAATTCACCATGATCCCTTAGATAAAATACATAATGATAATAATAATAATGTTTATTCATATAATAAAGATTACAGAAAACTTCAGGTACATAGGTAAACAAAGAAAATATACTACAATAAAGTGTTACAGACATCCAATGGATTTAAAATAATTTACACCAATACATATATAATCAATCGAAATCAAGTACTAAACCAGTTTTTTAGTTTTATCCTTGCAACGTAAAACACAAATAACGTGCGCAATTGAACAAAATTTGTTGTTGTAATTAAGACAATTGTTTTTTCTTTTGACTGAATAATATTTATTTATCTTTGTTGTATTTTTGTAAACCAAATTAGCAGTGTTTTATGGCGACGATCCAAAGTTAAAATAACCTGAAGCAACTTCCTTGCAATATAAACATTTGGAAAGCTGAGCTTGAGTTTGGTTACCAGAGTATCAACGTTAAATAAATATTTGCTCATTGCAAGGGGGAAATGTTATTCGACCAGATAACACAATTATTAATTGTGGCCGATTTGGTTTTGATTGAAATTAATACGAATAACATTGAAATGAAAATTTATAGTTTTTAATAATGTTGTGAAGTTTTATAGTTTTTATTATTGAGTGTTGATACACTCAAATTTTTTTTTAATAAATATAACAAAAAAAGTAGTTTGTCTTAATAAAGTAAAGATTACTTTTGTAACGGCATCATTTTTATAAAAATTATTTATCTACAAACGCTGCTTTCAGTAATAGCATTTGCATTAATTATAAAGTAAAATTTACGTTATGTCTATAAAAATAACATTCTTCCAGATGCAGAAACGCATTGATAAATATAGTTTTTATTATTTGTCCAAAAAAACAGTTCTATACCGTTTACAAAAACGTTTTGTAGTATTATTCATAGAAATTTTGTAAATTTTACAAATCCCTTTTCGTTTAAAATAAAACTTTTTTTATAATATTAATAAAATTTATGTAAATTTAACAACAAATTAATTGTTAATTCAATAAATTATTTGTAACAATGGTCACGTTTTCAACCTACTGTTGGGTATTGGGTAGTTTTTTTTAATATTTGCAAGGCATTAAAACAAATAATTCATTATAACAAAAATATACTTATATTATATGATGTACAAAATAAAAAAATAAGAACTCACTTTTTAAACAACAAGTCTGCTTCGTTTATAGAATAGACCTTAATTAAATATTTCTTTTACAAAACGTCGAAATTTTAATTTTCTTATTGATCTTTTTGATATTTTTATCGTGCTAGATTTTACCACACTTCACTCGCTGAAGGGAAATCAATAAGATTATAACACAGGCTGTGGATTATAAAGTTATGTTCATCAAGGAGAGCGCTGGCCCTTTCCCCCTCTTTTTAAGGGAAATAACAAAAATTTTGTTACCATTGCAAAACAATAGTAAATATTAAAAAATTCTTTTTATAGCAATAAAATATTTTTGTTATTGTTCTTAACGTAAGCTATTGACAAAGATTTTTTAACTGAAATAAAATTAATTTGAATTACAACTGCGCATTACTTTATTCACACACAACTATAGATTTAACAAAAACATTTTAAGTTCGACTAAGATTTAATATAAACATAAAGTATTTCTTAGTGCCATGACAATATGATAACAACTATTACTTTGTTGGATGAATATTTTTTTATAAAAGCTCAACATTGCTGCTGCATTATAGTAAATGAGAATTTTATTACCAGTAAAAAAAGTTTATTCTGTAAATAAAAATAATCTCATTACTTTGACAAATCGTTAATTTTTCTCCCAATAAGACACTGAAAATTTAATAAAAACGGTACCTTAGTACATTTTTTTATAGCCATTACAATTTAAGTTAAATAATATTATTTTATAATATAAACTTTATCATAATATTTTATTTCAAGGTCAAAGTTTTTTAGTTTAATATTGTTTTTTGTTATTCTAAATACAAATAGCAAGTCTCGATATATGGAACTTTTTTATTTTATATTTCTTTGTTAGCATATAATTTAAAACAAATATTAACTAGTTCATTTTTAGGGTTTTGGTTGGTAAATATAGTTGTCAAGTTGGTTGCATTGATTAAAACAAACTAAGCTAGTTATAAATCTAATTGTGGTTATGTATAAATTATTGTAGGTTACATTGTGCAGTTGTCGAGTTGGGTTGTCGAAATTCGTAAAAATGCAATTAATTTGGCTTTGGTGGTGCTTGGATGAGTTAAATCATATAAAAAAGTAGTTAAATATAGGTTGCTTTACGGCCCAGAAGAGAAAGTATTCCTAGCGGATAATAATCTTCGCTTTGAAAAGAATTTACATAAAATTTTTTTTGAACGTAAATGTTGTCCAGTGGTGAATAATGTGAAAATAATGTGTGATGTAATATTTATAAAACCAAATTCGTTACTTTTTTACTCCAAAAATGTTCATAAGGCGATGTAGTTTTTCTTCCATTGTGGCATTCGGCATAATTTCATCAAAATGAAGTTTTGCCCTCAAAAGGGCTTTTACATTCGAATTCGTTGCTATTATTTTTGGCATAATTATCTTTTTATTTATAATTGACAAGTAAATTATCAATAATAAATATTATTGTCAATTTGACAGTGTCTCAGTATTTAATTAAATTCTTAAATACTAAAAATACTAAGTCAAACTGGCATAAACCACCAACCTAACAAAAAAACACGAGTCCAGATAAAAAAAATGAACTGTACTTTCCTCGTAAAATACTTTTTTCGGACTAAGCTACCTTCTGTTTGAATGGTACAGTCAACCGACAAAATTGTAGGTACTGGATCAGAGAAAATCCTCATTGGGTAGTGGAGGCAAATTCCCAATACCGGCAAAAAGTGAATGCCTGGGCAGGAATGGTGGAAAATCGGATCATAGGTCCTTTCTTCTTTGACAAGAAAACTCTCTTCTTTCCACTGTAGCAGAAATGTTTCCCAATGAGAACGGAGTGATACCATTTGTTTTTAACAGGACCCTACCTCCTCACTATGTTCACTTTTTTAAATAAACTTGATCCATACTGTTGCCGTCCACTGTATATATTTATTCATTTCATAACAAAAAAAAATGCAACTGGATTTTTTTTTTTCAGAACGCATACCGGCGTTGGGTGTGCAGTTCTCTGGTGCCTCATTATTCGTTAGAGGGGGAGCGAGTGCGCCCCTGCCTGTCAGTTTGTCACGACGTCGAGCAACAGTGCCCGTATCTGCTGCCGCAAGACTGGACCAACACCACCCTGCACACGCAGACCGGCGAGACGACGTCGCACGGTCCGACGCCTCAGTACGCCGGAGAGCCCACCTTCCTTTGCCTCGGTAAGATTTAAAAAAAAAAAAAAAAAAAAATCGATTTTGACGTTTTTTCGGTTACGAGACGACCTTGTCATCTAGGTACTATGCTCCGCACCTCAAAGTCCCACCACGCGACCACGTACGGAACGCAGTCTTTTGAAAATTTGGCATTCAAGGCTTTTCAGGTTATGTATCTGTCAAAGTATAGTCAACGAAAGAAATAATATTTATAGTGTTACCGCTTATGTTTAAGCGTTAAAAGTTAATAAATCTTCATAGTATCGCAATAACAATGGTTGGTTTAAGAATTTAGCAATATAAATACTGCATTTAATGAAATTCCAAAGTGTAAGGTGCAATATAAGTGATATTTTTGTGCATTGGGTCTACATTTCTCCATAAAATAGTTTTAACTAAACAGCATTTATTTAAAAAAATCCAACTTCTCTATTATGAAATAAGAATATCTGTATCAAAGGTAGGTTAATGTATTAGAACAAAAAATTTCATCTAATTTTGTATTTTAAGGTTAGAAAAATCTATTTTGACCAAAATAAATAAGTGGAATATTTGAAAGAGTGTGTTAATATGGTCATAAATAAATATACGTATACTAAATAATTGTTGAATATAGTTGTGCATACCTCTCGGCATACTTACTTTAAGTTAGATTATAAGAAAACAAACAATTTTTAGAGAAACTTGCAATGTGAAAATATTAAATACTCCCATGACATGTGACTTATTAACATAATAGTTATAATGATTTTTCGATGTATTTTTAACTATTTGTATTGACAAAACTTTATGTAGGTACACTTTAAGCTGGATAAAAAAAACTACCACATTTTTAAATAATAATTATACAGTATTTTAAATATTCCAAAATACTTATTTATTTTGGTCAAAATAAATTTTTCCAACCTTAAAATTACAAAATTAGATGATATTTTTGTTATAATATATTATCCTACCTTTAATACAGATATTCTTATTCCATAATAGAGAAGCTAGATTTTTTTAAATAAATGCTGTTTACTTAAAATTATTTTATGGAGAAAACCAGATATTTGGACCAAATGCACAAAAATATTACTTATTTGGCACCATACGCTTTAGAATTTCATTAAATGCAGTATTTATATTCTTAAATTCTTAAACCATCCATTGTTATTGTAATGTTATAAAGATTTATACATTTTTAACGCCTAAACATAATATTATTTCTTTCGTTGACTATACTTTGACAGATACATAACCTGAAAAGCCTTAAATGCCAAATTTTCAAAAGACTGCGTTCCGTACGTGGTCACGTGGTGGGACTTTGAGGTGTGGAGCATAGAACCTGGGTGGTAACGCCATAAGGTAAAAATTAAGCGTAACAAAATTGATGTTAGGCTGGGTAGCTCAGATGGTAGGTGGTATGTTGATACTTACTCAATTAGAAGATAGCGGGGCAAACAATCTAAGAACCTTACACTTTATTGTTTTAGTACCTTTCTCTGTAACAATGCATGAACACATCTGGGAATGCTTCGTAAAAGGTTATTTAGGTATTCTTAAGAAATGTTATTCCATTCCTCAACAGCGGCTCTTGAAGATTCATGGAAGTATTCAAACAGTTACGTATCAAGCGGCATGTCCAGAGAAAGAGGTTGCCAATCCATTCTGTCTCGCAGAAACTCTAGGATAGCTCTAGTTTAATGTGGTCAGGCATTGTCATCCGAAAACAGAACATTTGACCATTGAGGCAATAACCAGTTTTGGTGGTCTTGAGCCCATTCTAACCACGACTGTCCATGTCTAGATATTAACCTGGGCACTTGTAAAGGTCTTCCACAAAGCAAACCCGTCTTCTGATGGTGCCATTAGAAATGAGTTGGTGGTATGAAACCTTTCCTTTGAGTTGTATCCTTGGACGCCTACTTTGATGTCTACTTTCCACAGAACCCATCTAAATATGCTCTTCAATGGTCCTAGTAACCTTACTATGGTCACAGCCTAATCTATCTGCTATTCGTCAATGTGACAGACCTTTAAAGAGAGAGATTATTTGCAAACGAATTTCATTGATAAGTTGAGCTTTAAGCATTTTTAAGAGGATTTTAATCTTTATACTCTGTACATGTTAAATATATACTCTGTACATCTTAAATATTAGTGGTAAATGTTAGTATTGATACAGGATAATGAAGTTGATTCCTCACGGAATAACCCTTACCAACTACGCTATTACAAACATAATTCAACATTTAATACCATACATTATTAATGCAAAACACAGTGGCAACTTAAGGTGCACTTTAATAGCCCCACTACTTACACACGCAATCAACCAGGTTAAGTCGGAACGGTTCAACTTATTTATTTATTCATTATCAAACAGCGTTAATAATTCAAATTTTAAGTGGAAAGATTGGCGGTAGGATGCAAATACTCTCGATACAACCAACTTTGACAGTTGACAAAGTTTACCTATATTATATTGTTTTTTGACCAGCGATAGATTCTAGTCTATGTAAGATCTTGAGTATTTAAAGGTTGTATTTGTAAATGATAGGGGTATACCAGGATTAGCATCAACTACTTCCAAGACCGTTTCTTCGTTTACTGTTGTAGTTATTCAATTTCTTCGCAATCACCTTTGTTTACTTTACTCACAGTCATGGATGTAAAGTGGTAACGTCCGTTCATATGGGGGTATACTCGGGAATGCTTCTTGATACAATCTTCGAGCTTCTGTTAGAAATTAGTTTGTTCTGATTTTTGTTATGACACCCTGTATATTACCGCCGACGGTGGACTAGTGGTTAGTGCTGCTGACTACAAGCCGAGAGATCTTGGGTTCGAATCTCACCAGGAGTATTTGTGTTTGTTCCATTGTGTAATAGTCCTTCGCAGGGGACTTAAAGCCCGCGGTCCGTTCCTACCCCTAACCCGCTCCAGCCATTCAGTTGGCCTCTGGGACTTCTTAGGAAGTAAGGGTGGAACTAAAAGACCATTTTGTATACTTTCTACATATATCATATTAGTTTCACTTGTGCATGTTCGTGTTTCTATTGTGGAAAACAGTGAAGCGTGTAAAGAATACGCGATGACGCTGTTCACTGAGCAAATTTCGATGCACTTTGGCTTTTTTGCGTAGGTAAATAGTAGCAGGAAGAAAAACAGCGAAGGCATTCTTCCGTTTCCCATGCACATTCACAATTAGATTTTGCTCGAGCGAAAAGCCAAGTTTAGTAGCAGACGATACGCTTAAAATATGTTTTTCCAAAGATTTTAAGCAGCATCCTTTATTTATCCAATCGAAATTATTAATATGAAGAGCAAAGTCAATTGGATTTAATATTTAGGAGGAACTTGTATGCGTTATAACGAGTTTCGGAGATGATAAGAATGTTGGAAAAAATTAAAAATTAAGTTTGCAATGTATCGAACTTCCCGACATAATCCGCTGACGTCAGCGCCATTTACCCGGAACACTTGATTAAAACAAACCAAATGGAAATTTGTACGATGCTAATTATTACGGATGGTACTTGATAATGTAAACGCTGTGGGGCTAAAATGGGGCATAATGTGGCCTAAATAGGGTGAAAAGCATTATTAATAATGCAATGTATCGCACAATGCGATTATTTGGCCAGCATGCACTCCTGACCTCGCACTTCAGACAATCGCTGCCGGTGTTGGAGTTATTTAATTTGATGCGGTCAAAATGCACATGCCGAATTGGCTCGTTAAATGTTCCCACCTAATGATGTTATTTGCCTGTGTGAATTTATTTATTAAAACATTTCTAACTATAAAAGAGAATGAGACAACTTTGGTCTGAGCATTGCAAATAGTTTTATCACAAACACATAATTGCTTAAAATGGAATAAAACGTCGGTTTTAATATTAAAATACAATAGTGGTTTGTTCTGCATTTATGATGGATGAGTACCAAAGTTATGACGGTTTATGTACATTATTTTTGGTTAAATCACAGTAACCAGAGTGATGACATGGTGAAAGATTTCAGCAAGAAATGAAGTCCATTCCTGGACAAAAGGTACGCTAAAGAAGTATCGCTAGTAGCGCCCCTGTAAATATAAATTGTATCTATTAGGTACAATAAATACACATATTAGTAATGATTAACGTGAAAAGTGTAAACATTTCAAATCAGTAATAATCGTCAAACAAATAAGTCGTCTAAATTTAAACAGCATTTAGCATTATTAAAAGCACTGATTAAGAAAGTCTCCACTCAACGGTAAAATACCATTATATTATGTATTATATATAATACTATGTTGCCATGAATTCATAGGAATATTTTGTTGTTTAAAATGCAGTTGTCGGCGTTTTTTAGATAACTCAAATATAAAAATGGTTGATTTTAAGGTTATGTTTGTGCAACAATTATTTTTTACTAATTTCTTAAAAATGTCCAAACTCAAATATAAATCATATTAGGTAAAGTTATCATTAGTTAATTCTGCACCAACAAATGTACTTACCGAATTGGATCCTTTGGCAAAACATGAAAATGCAACGATTTAGTTCTTGAATTTTGTTTACAATTAAAAACAATAATTCACCACGATCCCTTAGATAAAATACACACACTAACGTAACTATATAAGCATTTAAGCGTTGAGTTTCTTAATTAATAATATAAAGAATAATCAACCGAAATCGAGTACTAAACCAGTTTTTTAGTTTTTTTCTTGCAACGTAAAACACAAATAACGTGCGCGATTTAGCTGTGCAATACTTCTTTAGCTTATTTTTGGCCAAAAAACATCGGAAATGAATGTAGGTACATTTCTTTTTATTAATTTGTAAAGCGGTGTATAAAGAACGAAACGAAATAAAATCCATATTTCCCAACCCTCCAAAGACCTGCCTTTTAAGTAAAACCAACTTTAATTGACAGGAGCAGTGTCATACATTGCTGCCGTTAAATATTTAATAATGATAGCACTTGGAACAAGACAGCAGACAGGGAGGTAGGAAAACGGAGAAAAAAACCAAC